GGACGTTTTCGCGCCTTCTGCGCCCGCCGGTAGCGCCGACACAGCCCCCACTACCGAGTCCTAACTCGCCTTCCACTGCGAGTTCCGCTGACCGCAAGTCCTCGCGGCGAAGGATTCGCGTGAAAGTTACCCGACAACTCTTTCGCGCCACGCTGGTTCCGCTTCCCTCTGTGCGCCTCTTGGCGACAACAGCGACGAACATCGTGCACCATTAAAGACGTTATAGACGAACGATGATGCAGGTTGGAGAATGTTAGAAAGCAGGATGGCAGCGTGGTCGACGATCGGTTCTTCGTTGTTAATAAGTAATTTGTCTTGGTATATGAATTCGATAACGGAATGATGATTGATGAGTAAATAAGCGAACCCTTTCACTGCCGATGAGAGCGACGATGTGTAACAATAATTCTATCGGAAAATTTAAAATAACTTTCCACGTGGGTTCTGGATATAATTATTTATCTATTGCTAATGTAACTTTCGCTTAAGAATAAATAAAATATGGTATGAAAGGTTTTTGTTGGAAAATCCTTTAAATGCAAAAATTTGTAAAATAAAAAGAGTGAAAGTAACGTATAGGTAGAAAGATGCATCGAGTGTTACAGATTTTTGCAGAATTTTTATGTTTTTCGAACGAGAATGGATTAGATATTGATATAAAGAGCACGGTAGCGGAATCGCATGAAAATTTTGCAAACTCAAGATTTTTCCATTAAATTTTACACAAACCGTTCTCTTCTAACTATCGGTCTAATAAAAATCGGGTCCACCAAAGCAGTCATGTAAAAATTGAATGTATATTCTGTGCGAAAAAATTCATTTGTTACTAAAATTAGTCTAATAAAACATTCTTCGTTTTAAAAGTTAGAACATAGAACATAATTGATACAAAAGACTATTTATTATCTATCTATCTATTAGTATCTATCTAGGTACTTCACGTACTCGATACTAATACAAATAGCTAACCTATCAAGTTATAAAACAGTCTAATGGACGAAAATCCGAATATCAAAATAGTCTGAGATCAAAATCACATATCTATTTCAACGTCAAACGTAATCGTAAACTACTATCTTTCAAAGTACCGAATATTAATCTATCAAAATCATATACGCTCCTGGTCGAAACAAACTTTTTCTAAACGATAAGAATATTACATTTAAATATAAAATTTAGTTAAATATCTAAATATAATTAAGCTTCCAATACTATAAAATTGAAGAAATAAAATAAAATTCTACAGTATCAACTACACTTTATAGCATAAAAGAATATCACGAATAAGATATCTATCGACTTAAAGAATTCATTCTTTCCTCTTAAATTTTAAGATGCTCTGATCTTTAAGATGATCTGATTTCAGATAGGAGCGTATATCGAATAATTATTTTACCGGATAATATTCCTATATCCTCGTTCTATCCTTCTCGGACCCCATTTCCGGAAACAGTTACCTCGCGCTAGCTTTTCGGACAAGCCTTCTTAAGGGACTATCAGACCATAATACGTTAGATTAATTAACGTAATCGTAATGAGACGATCTCATCTCGACGCACAATGTGGGCTACCCGATATCGCAAGTGTCTTGATGTCCTCGTGCGTGCACACGGCAACATCTACCTGTAATACGTCCACGCGAACGGCCCGCGCGCGCGCACACATACAGGTCAGCCGTGTATTACTGACAAGATAGGTCGAACAATGGCTTCCATTACGGCTAGAGACTGGTTGAGTTAATGGGCAAATTGTCTGCTAAGTCATTTAAAGGGCTAAACCCGGTGCAGGCGCAGGCCTCGCTCTAGTCTCTTCACGCGGTTTGCTGACAATCGATGCAATTAGATCGATGGTGCGCCGCCTAAGACCCGATAACCTCGCGAAATTTTCGACCGGAATACGCGGAAAGTTCGATTGAATTGCGATCTCTGATCGGTCGACGTTGGTTAACCGGATTATCTTTGATAAAAGATTTCCTGCAGACCGAATTAGAAAATTAGAAGCTTGAGACACTAAGCTTCTTGAAGATTACTAATTCAAACAGACACGACATAAGGAAACTTTGACTTTGTCGTGAACGTGAACTCAGCACCATGTAATCGCGATATCTGCCGATATAAATAGATCGCGGATGTTTATGCATTTGCAGATAATTTAAAAATGGAAGATGTATATAATATGCAAGAATATATGAAATATGTAAAATATTAGGTTGTCCGAATAATTTCTTTTGTTTTATAAGGAAATGATAGACGCACAATGTTTTTTGTTTTATATTAGTTTATTGAATTATGCACGAACGTAATAATAGAAATAGAACGAAATGGATCATACCTAATTCAATAAAATAATATAAAACAGAAATTGTCGTCCATCTATTATCATCTTATGAAACGAAAGAAACTTTTCGGACAACCTAATAGAACGCACACAAGAATATTTATTGTCTATAACAAATCTCTATATTCAGTTCTCGTTTCTGTGGTTATATTCATAAGAACGTAAAATTCCTACAAACATCCGCAGTCTAGTTATGAATTTGCGTAGAACTGACTAGTCACTATGTATTATGTTTATTACGACACAACAACTGACCCGTTTCTTCTTCCGGACATCGAATAGTGAATACGCAAATCAAATGTATGTATATTTTATTCTGTATACTAAAATGTATCTATTCGAATACATTATTCGATTACATTCGATTACAAGATACGTTATTCGAAACTAAATTTTAAAAGTCCATCGATAGCAAATATTCGTGTGTCCTATGTATATGATTGCGTGAGAGAAACTTGTTCTATCGATACGTTTCTGTTTGGCGTACAAATTTCCATTACTAAGCGTTAACGAGTAGAAGCAATTGAGAAGTATAAATTCACATATCGATTCTATGTCTATACTAATTTTAACAAAAATTTCACAAAAATTGTTTATATAATAGCACGTCAAAATAAAGTAAGAAAAAGTGGTTTACCTAATAGAAATATGCAAATAATAAAACGAGAACGTACAAACTCTGACATTTAAGCCTGGCGCAACAAATAAAGACCTACCCTACGCACATTCTCCCAGCAAAGCAAGTTCAAGGACCATCGACATCGAGCGTAAACAGGAGGGTAGCAGCAGCGAGTAGAGGGTGGGGGTTGTGAAATGCGGCAAGGCAACAATATGCTACAAGTTCGTTGATCGTAACAAGGGTACTCACTCTGGCTGGCAGGACGTTTTCCTAGCAGCACCAGTTCCGAGTGATCCTCTTCGCTTATCTCCGGTTCGCGGCACCACGTCGTGCTCGTTCCTTCTCGGCCGGTTATAGGATGCACCACTGATCGATCGCGACACGACCACGTGGCGATCACGAGCGAGCCGTCCAATGGGGAGACAGGAGCGAGCGAAGAAGAATAAACAGAAAACGATCGTGCACGAAGCTCTTTCGAATTTATTAATCGCGACGACGAAAATTCTACAGTCTATATATGGAAATTTATTCCAAATGTTTATTTAAAGTTTAATTGAACTTTATTCGATAACATCGTTCGTTAAGTGGCAGTAATTTCACAGCGAATAATTCTTCAAAGTAAAATTGGATACCGCTGATTTTTGTTAATTGCTGGTTAATTGCAAGTATACACGATGACGATACGAAAACACGTGACACCGCGACGGTTGCCCGCGGCTGACTGAAACGACGGGGGAAGAAACGTCAGGAGTGTGCGCTCCCGAGTTCTCCTGGGACCGACTGATTCGGTCGAGAACACGTTCCAATTAAATTCTCCAAAGTTCGTTCCTAGTATGATTTTTTCCACGGAAATGTGTAAATGGATTCTGAATGAGACGAAGAAGTCTGACGAGAGATGATTGCAAGAAAGGGACGTAATATCGCTTCGCAGCGGAGAAGAACGTCGATGCTCGCCTGCTCGTGGCGGGCTTTTTTCGAGCAGAGACGGATA